AAAAAAAAAAAAAAAAAAAAAAAAAAAAGAAGGAGCTGCTGGGTTGGGCACAGAGGCTCACAGCTGTAATCCAGCACCCTGGGAGGCCAAGGCAGGAGGCCCACATGAGCCCAGAAGTCCAAGACGAGCCTGGGCAGCACAGGGGGTCTCTACAAAAAAATAAAAAGTTTAACCAGCTGTGGTGGGGGCACCGTCCTAGCTGCTTGGGAAGCTGAGGCAGGAGGATCGCCGGATCCTGGGAGGGCGAGGCTGGGTGAGCTGTGGTTATGCCACTGTACTCCAGCCCGGGTGACAGATGAGATCCCAACTCAAAAGAAAGAAAAAAGGCGGACGCAGCAGCTCCTTGAGCAGAGGAAGCCATGCCATTACAGAGATCTTGAAAGTCGGACTGTCCTGTATAACTTTATACCCAGAAACTTGGTGCATTCCCACAAGGAGAGCAGCTAACAGTAACAGCAATAGCAGCTTCCTAGTCTTGAGGGAGGATAACCGGAACATTCTCTCGGGCACATTCATAACCCTGGGTGCTTATTTGATGTTAAGCCACATCATCCTCACATACTGCCCGCTGAGGCTGTCATGCCCACTTGACAGGCAGGAAAATGAGGCTTAGAGGCAAGAAGGTGAAAACATTTCTTGTGCACAGGTTTGTGCAACCCACTGAGCTGCAGAGCTGTAACAATTACTAGAATTTCCTACTTAAGAAAAGTGAGAAGTTTCAGCATAAGAAACCGTGAAAAAGAAGAAGTGAGTGAAAACTGCCACATACGAAACAGACCTGGGGCGGTTCTAAGCGGTTATGCTTTCGATGTACCTAAGTGCCAAGCCTGTCTAAACCACTCCCAAGGCTACTTCCCTACGAGAAGTGCCTTCAGCTTGGCACAGTCGAGTGGTCCCACCAGTCACAAGACAAACATTTCTCTACAGTGCAGGGATTTTCTTCCTCAAGGGCAAACTGGTGAAGTGTCCCCCCTCCCTCTGTAGAACAGTGAAACAGCAGTTCCCCTAAACATTCTCAAACACTGACTCATGGAAAGGGGGAAAAAAGGAACATCCTCGCCAAACCAGATGTATGGGAAAGTGACCCCCGACACAAACAAGATGTCGACAACATGAGCTTAAATACCAAAAATGGGAGAAGGAGACTGAACTTCCTATGAGCCTTCAAAAGGCGCGCTCAGCGGCTGTAACCTCGCCGTATGGGTCCGAGATTCGCGCACATCGCTGCTGAAACCAGTTCGCTTTGTCGTGCTGCTGCAAACTATGTTCGTGGACAACACAGGACTCCTAACCATAAGGGTTTTCTTCTTTACAGAGTGGGAAGAAGGGAATTACCCAGCGGACGAATATGCAAACACAGTGTGAACTCTGACACTGAGCACACTCCTGCCACAGACGCAGAAAAGGTGGCGGGGGGAGCCTCACTCACCGTTAGGATGCCATGCCAGAGTCCGACGTCCTTCTTGAAATCCAGCACGTTCACAATGGTTTCCGCTGCACAGCAGAGGGAGTCAAAAGGTGCTTGCTTACGACCGAGCAGCAAAGACAGCCCAACATCGTGTCAGGGATAACAGTGGATCTTGGAAAAACATCCTTCCCCTCCCTCTTGGTAGACATTCTACGGCCTCCAGTCAGGCCGGCTTCCACCCGCTGTCCCGCCCAGGGAGTGTTCCTAGAGGAATATCCTGACACGCAGCTGAGCAGCGTTAGCGCGCCACGGCCACACTGTACCTGGAACGCCCTGCTCCTCTTCTCTTTACATGTTTTCCTCCCCCCTGCCCTTTTCTTTGAAAGCTCTCACTTTGGTTCCCTTGGGAACGTCCCCCAGGGAGGGGGCAGCTTTTGCAGCCAGCATGCCGGGCACCCGGGGAGGAAGTGGATTTTCAGTCATGCACGGGCCTGTGTGGCTCCACTGGGTCTTCGAGGCGGGTTTGGGGGTGACAGAGGAGGCGTGGGCCTTTGGAAAGATGGGATGGAAGCCCATTCGGCGACTACAGGGGCGGAGCTCTGACAAGGATGCTAAAAGCTCAAGACGAAAGTGATGACTCATGGAACATGGAACACGGAAGCCGGGCCAGGAAGCCAGGCCCAGCCACACCCAGCTCTCACCCAATGTCACCTTTCAACCAAGGTGAGGAGGTAAGGGACTATCAGTGAGCCCATGGTGGAGCCCTGACTGGCACCCGCATAAGAAGACAGCTCTGTCTCTTCAAGAGTACACACAGGGAAAGCTTGCAGGGTCACCACGAAAAGGTGCTACCTGTGAGCCAGGAAGAGGACCTTGCAGGAACCAGCCCTGACGGTGCCCCAATCAAAAGTTTCCAGCCTCCACAACTGTAAGAACACAAATGGCTGTGGCTTAAGCCACCCAGCCTGTGCATTTTGTTATGGCAGGCAGAGCTAATGCCTAACTCAACAATTCAGGAAGTCAACGTTCAGTGGAACTGGGCAGAAACCGAATACTACTCTCATGGCTCCTAGCAGGAATACGTAATATGGTCTCTCCATCAGGTGAACCTGGTTAGAACCAGGGTCCTGAGGACCCGTGATCTGGCAGGAAGGGGCAGTCTCACCTTCCGTGTAGCCGCAGGCCTGCGTCAGGGCCTGGCAGTGTGTCAGCAATGCAATCCTCGTCACCGTCACACCAAGCACGCTGCCGTCCTTACACGTCTTGTACTGAGAGAAACAGAAAACAAGACAGAAAGTGTGAGGCAGCGTCCACAACTATCAGCTTTTCTAGCTAGAGGAGATGCTCTGAGTCCCTTAACTCTGGAGCTTGAATAGCTAACAGAAAGGCGTGTGAAGCCCCAAAGTCACGCCCAGATGCCACGGAAGGAGGGCGTGTTTGACTTACCTCGATATAAGCAGTGTCGTTATTGGCATCCTTAATGTGTGGGAACCAGTCTCGAGGAGGCTTGGAGAGATGTTTTGACTCCGTGACAAACCAGAGTAGCTTTGGCCAACCTTGGACATAAACGACAAATTCCTTTTGAGTGAGCACTGCCCAGGAAATAGGTCTGCGGAACGCTCCACTCAGGTGGCACACTTTCAAGCAACACTTCAGGCTAGGTGGGATGTCTGGGGTCCCCCATTTCATCAGTTCTAAGACGGCAACAAAAGGGCACCAAGCCACCACCCATTACATCGTGGCACTCGGGGGCCGATGACCTGTGACTTGTTACTGGAGAGGTCAGCGAGTGCAAAGATGTGGGTCTTGGAGCCGGGGCCACCCAGAGTCTTCCTCCTCCAGCAGACAGCGAGGCGTCTGATAAAGGACTCGGCGTGAGCCAGCTCTCAAGGGCGCTGTGGCTTACCTTTAAACTGCGGGATCTCTCCTGTTGGGCTTTTCGGTAGTCCTTTGTGGCAAGCATCGCTAGTCAGGGCGACAGTAACGCCACAGCTTCCGAGCAAGAAGCCGATCTGCTGGCTCCCTGCATCCTGAGAAGGCAGAAGAGAGGAGGGTTGCGCCAGACGCCAAGCACAGCCCCGCTCCGGGAAGGAGCACCATCCGGCCTTGGGTCCTCTCTCTTTCTGAAGAGCAACTCGGGGCACAGACTCTGAGGTCTGACGCGGGGACCAAATCACGACCCTGGGGGGGTGTGAGTGTGCCTGGCCTCGGTTTCCTAATCCGCAAACTGGAGGCAGAGAGAGGACGCCATCTCCTAGGTTTGTTGTGCGGGATAAAGTAGAAGAGTGAATGGAAAGCGCTCAGCAGCTGGCTGGTGCTCTGCGGTCGCACAAGAGGCGGCCACCGCAGCGTCCTCTGATGCCGAGCGACACTAGAAGACAAAGCCCCTGCGGAGAACAGAGAGGGTCTAAGAAAGCACTTGGTACCTAACACACCAGCACCGAGCACCTGTTCTCTGCAGCCCAGAGATGCGGAGGTCCACGTGGCAAGGCCACCTCAGCGGTGGAGGGAGGACCCGGGTCGCTCTCCCCCCGGCCCTGAGCGCGCCACGTCTCACAAAACAATGGACGGGGGCAGGCGTGGGCCCCAGTGCAGCGATGGTGGGGACCGCACAGGCAGCCTCCGGCCACCATCCCTGGCTCGGAAACGCCCCCTCCAGGCGGACGCTGCCGGCAGGGCTCCCCTGGATGGAGAGCACAAGGAGCGGCCCCCACATGCCCTCTCCCGCTCACCAGGCCCCGCTTCCCCCTCGGAGGACGGACCCGCAGCCACGCCAGCGCAGCCCACTCCCTCTGCGCCCGCCAGTCCCCCCCGCAATGTGGCCTTGCCGTGACTGGATTCGGAAAATAAAAGGGAAGCCTCCAAGCAGCCAGTGGGCTCAGACCAGAAATGCCGCGTCGTGGTGAGCAAGCCACCTCTCATCACTCCCAGGCGCCTCCACGCGGACCCCCCTGTGGGGACCCGGCCCCAGCACCGCCCTGCCTGGCCTGCTTGCTGTGGGTGACCCGAGCCTGGCCTGCACATCCACACACACCCGCGGGAACTTGCGGCACTGAACCCCAGACGTCAGCCGCATCACTGACCCAGACACGCCCACTGCAGAGACACCCTCGGGGCAGCCCGGACGCCAGGAGAGGGGCTCTGAAGCCCTCTCCCCCTTCACTCCACCCTGGGCCCTTCTCCTCACACCCTAGCCCGCTCCCCTTCTCCACACTCTGGGCCTTTGGGACAGGCTCAGCCACCTTCAGAGATGGTGACAGAGCTTTCAGACCTTCCCTCACCACCCAAGTCCTACTGGACACAGGTGCGTGTTTGGGTTTTCCACGTCCCTCCCCTGTCCAGGCCAAGCTGTGGAAGGAACAGCAGACTCCTACTACACATCCCACACAGATATCTGGAAGGGCTTCTTCCTCTCACCCCTAGGATGAGAGGGCCAACAGATGTGCCTAGGGACTAGACTGTTTAGTCAGCTTTATTGAGATATGTAGGAGCAGAAAATCTGGCTCTGATCAGGGCCTTTGAGACACTTCTAGCGACTGAGGGACGGCAGATGGAAAAACATATCAGCAATCTATGTGACCCTACTTTGATTTGCACCTTGGCCGAGGAATTCTTCTAGTTGAAAACATGGACAGTTTTCAAGATCAATGAACCGCTACTTTCTAAAGTCAGAGTTCTCAAAAGACAACATGCAGGTGGCCAACAGGTACCTGAAGAAATGCTCAGCACCCTGATACCTGGGAAGTGCAAATCAAACTACAGCAAGATATCATCTCTCACCTATCAGAGTGGCTTTTACCAACAAGAAGGAAGATAATGTTGCACAGGAAAGGGAACACCTGCAACACGGTTGTGGGAATGTCAACCAGCAGAGCCAGACAGCGGCCACGTGGCCAGCGAGCACACAGAGGCCAGTTCACCAGCCGAACACAAAACACTCATTGCTGCTACTAATAACTGCTGCTAACACCTGGGAGATGAGGCGGCACTGCAGGGATGTCTGGTGCACACCTGGAGGGCTGGCTGCTAGCTCTGAGAACAGCAGGCTCGGTAAGGCAGCCGTAGCACACGCCCCACCCTGCAGATGGGGGCCCTGGGCCACCTGCACCCCTGTGGGACACGCACACACGTTGGGAGCCAAGCCAAGAACTCCCGTTTTGCACGTAAGGAATTAAAACCGTGATCCTCTCTCCTCCATTCCAGAAGGAACCCGCATTCTCTCCCTTCCCATCCAAGGAGTGGAGTTGGAAATGCAGCCGGTTAATTTGCACAGGTCCCGAGAGCTACCCGCTACGTGTTCCGAGAGGCGGCAGAAGGTTTTCTCTAACATTGAGTCAAGTTTTAGCATCAGGGTAGCACGGAGACAGCCGGATGCTCCTCGACTCTCACAGCCTGGGCTGCATGTGGCCACTTTTAAAGTTGGAGCACCGTGTGCTCATTAGAGGTGTGCCGAAGCAAGCCTCAATGATTCTGGGCCCTCGTCCTCAGGGCGGGGCTCGGCTCCTTCCCACAGGGTCAGACTGCCTTTCAGGGAGCAGCAGGGTCAGTGCTCCTCCCTCTCCCTCGCTTGTTTTCAAAGTTGCTGCACTTCTGGCTTGCAGAGAAGCACATTAACCAGGGGAACTAAGTGACTAACGTTGGCAGACTGATGTGGGCATCATGTTGCTTTTTTATGCTGGACTAAGCAGCAATGATAGTAGCATATTTAGTTATTTTAATTGTGCAAGACCTGACAGAGCCTAGGCAAACCTGGCACGGGATAGTGTCAAAACACCTGAGCAAATGCAACCACCACCCCCTCCCCAAATAATACATTACCAAAACAGCCCTGTCATTTCCTCAGATTCTGTGCACATGACACCGGGGATGAGGTTCTCAAACACCTGCTTTATGGACAGAGATTATTTAGCTCCAGTTCTGTTACCAAATAAGCTTAAGCTCCACCTCTGGGCGTGGCACCCTGCAGTCAAGTCAGGCTGCGCTGTGACTGCTGCCTTTGGGGGGATGACAGAGGATGTCTGCGGTCTCAGAGGCAATAAAGCACCCCAGTGCACCTGGATCCACGTCTGGCTGGGGGAGTGTCACCTTAAAGGCTGCGTCTGTCCTCGCGCATGACACCAGCCCCCATCCCTCCCCATGGAGGGGCTTCGGCCAAGCAGTGCTCTTTACCTTCCTCGTGAGCGGCACCTCGATGGGCACGGGCACGACTTCAGCCAACAGGCAGCCATAGAACGCCACCATGAAGGCAGCCGGGTCGTTGTTGGGGAACACCAGCGCCACCTGCAGAGAAGCCAGACGCGGGGTCAGCCCTGGCGTGGACCCTTGCTGGCTGCCACGCCAAGGAAGGGCTGAACCTTCCCAGACGGCAGGGTGGAAGTTCTAAGTAAGAGAGCATGCTGGAGTGAAAATTAGGTGCCGGGCAACCTGGTCCGGTCCCCTCCCACTGTGTGGGGGGGCGGTTTCTGTCCTCTTAACAAATCCTGCTTTCCAAAAGAAAAGAAAAGAAAAAAAATTTAGGTGCCCTGTGCAAAAAATGCTGTGTTTCAGTGTCATATACCCTTTCTTTAATTCACATCAAAGACAAACGTATGAACACCATTACCAGAATAAAACTGCCTTTGTTTTCTGCATATTATCTTCCACATCCACACACACACAACAATTTTTTTTTAGTTGGAGTCTCACTCTGCTCCCCCGTTGAAATGCAGTGGCACAATCAGAGCTCACTGCAGCCTTGACCTCCTGAACTCAGGCAACCCTTTTGCCTCCGCCTCCCAAGTAGGTAGGGCTACCGGCAAGCGCCACCACCTCTAGCTAACTTTTTTATTTCTTTGAGTTGGGGTTTCATGCCATGGCCCAGGCTGGAGTGCGGTGGCATGGCCATGACTCCCTGCAGCCTCAACCTCCCGGGCTCAGGCAAGCCTCCCACCTCACAGCCTCCCAAGGAACTGGGACTGCAGGCATGTGTCACCACACCCGGCTAACCTTCTGATTTTTTTGTAGGGATGAGGTCTTGCTACGTTACCCAGGCTGGTAATGAACTCCTGGGCTCAAGCAATCGTCTCGCCTTGCCTCCCAGAGTGTGGGGTTATAGGTGTGAGCCACTGTACATAGCCTTTTTCTGGATTTTTGTAGAGACAAGGTCTCGCTATGCTGCCCAGACTGGAGTGTGGTGGCACAATCACGGCGCACCGCAGTCTCAATCTACTGGGCTCAGGCTCTCATTCCAGCTCAGCCTCCTGAGTTGCTGAGAGTTGTAGGTGTGTGCCACCATGTCTGGCTTTTTCTTTTTGAATGGAGATGAGGTCTCGCTACGTGGCCCAGGCTGATCTCAAACTCTGGGCCTCCAGCAGTCATCCTGCCTCGGCCTCCCGCAGTGCTGGCGTTACAGGAGTGAGCCACCGTGCCTGACCAACCTTTACACAGATGAAACTATATACGATGCTGTTTTCACTATTGTCCCTAAGCTTGGTAAACACTTCCTCATGTTTCTATGCAGTCTTTGTAACTGGCACGAGAGGCCGTACGGTTCTTGATTAGGCTGCTGGGCTGACAGCGTGGGAGCCAGAGCCAGACCCAGACAGGACTCCACTCACGCCGTGTCAGCGCTTAGCCCTGGGACCCCATGCACAATTTTAGGCCCTCTTAGCCTTAGTTTTCTTACCTGAAAAATGAGAATAACGATATGTCTTAAGGTGGCCAGGGTCAAATGAGAGGCTGCATGTCAAGAGCTGAGTGGGATGCCTGACGCATGGCACGTGTCACGGGCGTTAATACTAGTAACACACAAACTACTAGTACTGGCAGCAGCGGCAGAATCCCTTAGCTAATGCTGCATGTGCACTTGCTCTGGCTGCTGCTGTGGCCCATAAATCTTCACCAAGTGTCTGGCCCACACACGGTACCCACTCAGGCATCCTGTCTAACTCAGCCTTTGGTAGGAATTGAATTCCTAAAAGCAGAATCATCACAGACCCTAAAGGTGTGGTGAGTGTAAATTACTACCAAGTAATGCTGGCACAGTGTAACAGAGATCATGATTTCTAAATCCATCTTCTGATAATCCTTAACAGGATGATGTATCTCAATGATGAGCAATTTTCCATGTGATTGTCACTATTATTACTCATATGAACTTATGAATATTTTTAAAAATTTCCTTTACCTATTTTTTATCTGTTGTGTCTTGATATGGTCCCTAAAATTTGGATGATGTTTATTATATTTCATGCTAATTCTGTTTGATGCAAAGACTTCTTGATATGTTATTTTCTGTTTTAACTTACTTTTATTGGTGTACACATTTAATGATTTTTTTGGTTTTTTTTTTTTGTTTGAGTTGGAGTCTCACTCTGTCGCCCACACTGGAGTACAGTGGCCGCTCCCGGCCACCGCAGCCTCGACCTGCTGGGCTCCGGCGATCCTTCAGCCTCAGCCTTCTGAGTAGCTGGAACTACAGGTGCGCACTACCACGGCCGGCTGATTTTTTATTTCTTGTAGAGATAAGGTCTTGCCAAGTTGCCCGGGCGGGTCTTGAACCTGCAGGCTCAGGCAATCCACTCACCTCAGCCTCCCAAGTTGCGGGATTACAGGTTGAGCCACCGAGCCCGGCTACATTTAATGTTTTATGTAAAATGTTCACACTTTTTATTTGTATTATCACCTATTATTTGGCAAATACTTCAGCCAATTTCCCCTGAACTTCTAAAATCAAGAAAATTCACCTGGACTTAATTTTAGCAAGCGCAGTGCAGCTAGTTTAACTTCTATCCAGCTTGCTCTTGTCACCCCAATGCCGTGTCTCCTATGGCCTCGTTTCAGAAAATTCCCTTTAACGACACAAAGCCAAGAGACAGCCCATCTCCGGGCTTCCACTCGTTCCGCAGAGCTCAGCCCCTGTTTCCATGGCTCCATCACAGGCAGCCATGGCGTCAGCATTGCTCCTCCTCTCCGACGAGAGCTTGGTATGTTTCCGTGAGCAGGCAAATCCCACGCTTCAGTGTGCAGGCGTTGTTTTGGCATGGCCTCATTCAGGAATTAAAGTAGTGTATTGTTGTTGTTAACAATGTCCTAACTAGAATTTTCTAATTCCACTGGAGACAGTTAAAGTCCTAGCTGTCTCAGCATCTAAGTAAGCAGGCTGGCATGATAGGACTCACACAGTAGCTGAGAAGGGACAGGCTGCCCCTAGCCCCAGCCATGCTGGCCAGATAGCAGCACGGTACTTAGTGGGAACCAAATTAAGTTTGGGAGTACTTGAACATTTCTTTGTGTACGGCATCTCTGCAGTTCACTAGAGTCTGCTAAAAAAAAAAAAAAAAAAAAAAGGAAGTAGAGAAGGAATAAGAGGCTTTCGTGTTACATCCACGCCATTATTTAAAAAAGCCATCGGAGGTCTGTATTGGCCGCCAGCGTCCTGCCTGTGTTCGGCGTACCGCGTGCCGGCAGCAGGCTTTTCCGATCTTGATCTGGTGGCAAGACAGTGCTCAACGACATGTTTGCAAGATTTCCCCCACTGCACGGCGTCTTCCCCTGAAGTAGACCAAAGCATTTGGGGAAGCTGACCAAACGACATCACAAAATTTGGAAGACAAAGCTCCACCTGAAACTATGGCTGCACTCATTCCTGAAGAAGGAGCTAATTCTGACTTGTTACTCAGCCCAGAACCCAGTGCCGGCGGCAGAGCCCTCCTCGAGGGCAGACAGCTGGGATGAAGAAGAGGCGTGTGGTCCCCAGAGCCAGGCTGTGCACCAACCCCTTCCTGAGAAGCGCCTCGGCTCTGGCTCCCATCCCGGGTCTGTGCATCTGCTCGGATGAAGATCTAGTTGATTTAGGACTTAAAATTCTCACTGGATTATCGCCACTTGAAGTTCCTGCTGATGATGCCATGTTACCGAACCTCGCAGAGCTGGACCGAGGTGTGATGTTTTACCACACCACAAAGTTAATAAAAGCAGAACATAAAATTGCACTTGATTGCAGACTCACAAAACACAAAAGTAATGAGTGGAAGGGCAAATACCTAAAGGGTCTTTCAGAGTCAAAACTGAGTATCTTCTTGGAATTTGTTTTATGGAAGAGAAGTTTGTACTTGTACCATTTTTGCTGAATTTTCCTTTAATTTTCAAATCATTCGCAAACCCTGTTTTACTGGTGACTCCAGAGTGATCCCCATGCAATTCTGCACAAACCCACCGAATGCTTAATTCTTATAAGCCCACATAACTTCCTTTCATTCCATCCACCGTGTGCGCACTCGCTATCTCATCGCACCTAATGGTTTGGAGCAGAGCAGGCCCCCCAAGTCCGGGGCCGAAAGCCCAGGCCACAGCCCAGGAGCTGAGCTAAGGCCTCTCCCATGGTGCTGATCCCCGTCTTCTTCCTCAGTCTTCCTTCCCAGGCTCCTTGCACACTGGCTCCACCGTCCAAGCCAGTGGCTTTAGCTCCTTCCCACACTGCTTCCTGGTACCTGGCCAGGATCTGCTCGCTCACCTTCCCTCAAGACGTCACCTCAGTCTCCAGGTGCTCGCCAAAATGAGAAAGATGTCTTTCCTCCTCCCAATGAATTCAGCTGTATCTCTTCCTACCTCTCTTGGGGAATTCTACCACTTTCCCATTTACGTATAGCTGCATTTTACACACACACACACACACACACACACACACATATATGTATACGTAAAAGCTAATTGTCAACATGCCCTTGTACTTTCTAATACTGCAACCTCCTCAAAGGTAGACTTCTTGTGTGGTGCCTCTTCATAACTTCCACAGCTCCTGCTCCAAGACCCTGAAAGGCTACTTAGCTGAGGCATCACAAATGCCTTCATAGCCCAGATAGGCACGTCCCAAACTTCATTAGCACAGATGTCCACAGGAGAAGGGTCTGTAAAGAACGTTCAGTCCTAAGCTAAGGACTGAACGTTTATTACTCTGAGGAAAATTAAATTACATTGAAAAATCATGTTCAAAGAAGACAAAGTACAGTACATTTCAACAGGTCATTTCCAATTGACTACTATAATTACGTATGCTTACTTAACAAGTATTTATACACGTGTCAGAGCTAGCCACGTGGATCATCTTTTGTAAGGAAAAATTTAGAAAGGCTGCCCCCCAAACCTTGACAGACTTCATCCTATCAGAACTGTACCCCTGCATTTCTACTGATGTCTTAGCTGAACACAGGAGGTTTACTTTGTAATGATTATTGTACAGAAATGGCAAGAATCTGGAGGCCATTCCGCAAAGCATTTTTTTGAAGGCTGCTCAGACTATGAATCACATTTTAGATAAAGGAGATATGCCAATTGACTTTTTTTGTGATAAAATACACATAAAGCTTATGGTTTTAACCATTTCTGTGTGTACAATTCAGCAGCATTAAGTACAATCACACTGTTGTACAACCATCACTACCTTTCTCTCTAGAACTTTTTTGTCTTCCCAAACTGAAACTCTGTCCCCATTAAACACTGACTACCCACCCCCCCTGTGGAAACCTCTAGTCTACTTTCAGTCTCTATGGATTTGACTAACCTAGGGACCTCATGCAAGAGAAATCCTACTTGTTTTTTGTGTATTTGGCTTATTTCACTAACCAAAATATCTTCAAGACTCATCCATGTAGTGTGTGCCAGAGTTTCCTTCCTTTTAAAGATGAAATCCACGTGCCATTTTATGTATATATCACATTGTGTTTACCCATTCATCCATCAATGGACTCTTGAGTTGCTTCTACCTTTTGGCTTTTGTGAATAATGCTGCCATGAACATGGGTGTATAAACATCTGTTCAATTCTTTTGGGTATATACCCAGAAATCGAACTGATGGATCAAATGGTAACTTTATGTCTAATTTTTTTGAGGTGCCACCATACTGTTTTTCAGAGAGGCTGTACCGTTTTACAGTCTTACCAGTAATGCACAAGAGTTCCAATTTCTCCATATTCTCGCCAACACTTGTTATTTTCTGTGTTTTGACAGCTGCCACCCTTCTTGGTGAGGTGTGGCACTTCACTTTGGTTTTGATTTGCATTTCCTTAGTTATTAGTGACATTAAGCATCTTTTCATGTGTTTATTGGCCACTTGCAAATCTTCGTTAGAGAAGTGTCTATTCGAATCCTTTGCCCATTTTCCAATCTTTTTTTTCTTTCCCTTTGGTGGCAATGTTGAGTTGTAGGAATTCTTTATATATTCTGGATATTAATCTGTTATCAAATATAGGACTTGCAAATATCTTGTCCTATTCTGTAGGTTGCTTTTCATTCTTGATAGTGCCCTTTGATGTAAAACATGTTTGATTCCGATGAAGTCCAATTTATTTTTGTTGTCTGTCCTGTGCTTTTGGTGTCATCGCCAAGAAATCATCACCAAATCCAGCATCATGAAACATCTTCTTTATGTTTTCTTCTAAGGCTTTTAGCTTTTACATTGGGGTATTTGGTCCATGTTGAGTCGATTTTTGATATAGGGTGTTAGGTAAGGTCCAAGGTCATTCTCTTGCATGCGGTTGTCCGGTTTTCCCAGCACTGTTTGTTGACAAATCTGTCCTTTCTCCACTGAATATCTTGGTACCCTGCTGAAAACCATTTGACCATATACATGAAGTTGTATTGGGGCTCTCTATTTGTTCCTTTGATCTGTATGTCCACCTTTATGCTGAAACCACACAGCTGTGATATGACAGCTTTGCAGTAAATTTTATAATCAGGAAGTATGATACCTACAACTTACTTTTAAAAGTTAGAGGCTGAAGTTGTTTGATAAAAAATAGAAAAGAATCATAGCCCACCATAGTCTCCTGAAGCTACAGTAATCTTTTAAATACTCCATAGCAGGCCTGTGCCTTTCTAGTATCTCCTAAGTAATCAAAGCCCCTGTTCTTGTCAGGTTATGGAGCTCTGAATGATGTTTTAATGTAATTCATTTGGAGTCCTTTGAGTGGGGTAACCCAGTCTTGGGTCATCTAGGGTGTACAGCATGCAGAAAAAAGGGCACTGTATCTGAAGGCAAGAAAACGGGGTTCTACACCAAGCTCCACATCTAAATTGGGGTGTAAAGTTTGGACAAGATTATTACCTGTTCAGGGTAGAACACAAAAATGGAAATATTAACATCTGTTCTTTGTAACTTGCCAGGAAGCAGTTAAGAATAGAATAAAGGCCGGGCACAGTGACTCAAACCTGTCATCTCAGCACTTTGGGAGGCCGAGGCAAGAGGACTGCCTGAACTCAGGGGTTCGAGACCAGCCTGGGCAACTTGGTGAGACCTCGTCTCTACAATAACCAAAAATTAAGCAGGGTGTGGTAGCAGATGTCTGTAGTTCCAGCTACTTGGAAGGCTGAGGCAGAAGGATCACCTGAGCCCAAAAGGTCGAGGCTGCGGTGGCTGTGAGCATGCCACTGTACTCCAGCCTAGGCAACAGAGTAAGACTCCGACTCAAAAAAAAAGGAATAAAATAAAAATTTGCTTTCCCATGGAAGGCAGTATCCTATATCAGGAGATTTAATACTGGGTAAGAAATGGTAGAACAGTCTGCTACCAAATTGTCTACTGCACTGACTAAGATAAAAACAATTTAAATACAACCGTCCTACCTGCCCAGGTAGACCACACGAGTGTGTTTCAGACCACAGGCCGATGTATGACAGAGGCTGAGAACATGGGCTGTGGAGGCTGACAGAATGGATGTGAGGGCTGGGCATGCCACTCACCAGCCAGGTTCCTTCCTCGATGGGCCCTAGCACCTCACGCTAAGATCAGAGAAATACTACAACGTGCTCATGGAGACCGAAGGTCACATTGCACATGTCAGCCCTTGGTTCGGAGGAAACGTGCAGAAAACCCTCTACAGCAGGAAGGGCTGGGGGAGGAGGCCGGGGAAAGAAGGGGAGGGGAAGAGGAGAGAAGGGAGGGAAAGGAGGCTCCAGAGTTTTAAAGCGGCAGGTGTCTTCTCCACATGACTACACGTTTTGCAGCTCCAGCCATGTGGACTGCACTTACCCGGTCTCCAGGCCGCACCATAGGTTCTTGCTTTGTTCCCAACTTATGCAGAATGTTGTAAGCAACCTTCATACTTCTCGTCCACAGTTTGCCTGTCAATGCAAATCACAGAGACACAAGTAACCGGACTTCTTCACACATGCCTTTTCAGTTCTGCACAGACGGGCACATTAAACTAGAGGTAAACTTCTCCAAACCCAAGTCTAGCCAAGGCACCATTCTGCTTCCCGCATACGAGTTCAGGTAGCTCAACTGCGAGAGAAAGCAAGAGAAAGAGAAGCCGTGGGCAAGAAGGAAAACCGATGTGAAAGCAGAAAGGCAGCAGAGGTTCCTAAAAACAGAGCTCAGGAGCCAGAAACAAGGAAAATGCAAAAACAACACCCAGGCCTGTCTCCCAATTTGCCTGTGAGGAGGGAGCCGACGGCCCACGTGGGGTCATGGGCTGTCATCAGTTCAGCTCAACAGCACAGCCATAGGGGAGGAGCAGGGTTTTGAGAAATCCTCTCCCAGTAGATCAAGTTTACCCAAAGCTTCAACGTCTTCTGAGTCCCCGAATTGAAAGGGAAACACGGCCCAGCAGGGCTACTAACTCCTACAGTCGAGCCACCTCCACCCGGGAATGAGGTCATGAAACGAGGGCAAAGCCACAGGAGACCCTGATCACCGGCTCTGAAAGTGCGGGAAGATCGTAGCGAGCAAAGCGCTAGGGCCACAGTAGCAGCACCACTGCCAAGGGGCTGCGCCCAGTGACAACGGACCTCCTGTACTGGTGGGCCGTGTCCCACGAGACTGCCATGAACTGGGCCTACACACGGCCTTGTGGGGGCCAGAAACCCGATCCCCGCTCCTCCCAGGCCCTCAGTTTCCCAACTCCAAATCTTCCTAACCTCAGGGTTTGAGGGGATGAACCATGGACTTAGGATACAGATAACGGCACATTTTTTGAATTACTCAGAGACTTGGAACTCTAGAAAGTCTCATTACCACAAGGCAGGATTTTAAAAGAGAAAGTAAAAAACTTTAGAAGTGACTGACTCCAAAGAGCTTGCATATTTCAAATCCCTGCCTCATCTTCACCAGATGTTTCCCCCGCATTAGCTGGAGGCGGTGAACAGTCTGAGAGGGAAAACCAATGACGCAGGTGTGGTGGCTCACGCCTGTCATCCCAGCACTTTGGGAGGCCGAGGTGAGAGGCCTGCTTGAGACCGCGAGTCTGAGACCAACTCGCAACCTAGTAGACCTCGTTTTTACAAAAAAATTTTTAAAAGCCAGGCATGGTGGCGCACATCTGTAGTCTCTGCTACTTGGGAGGCTGAGGTAGAAGGATCACCTGAGCCGAGGAGGTCAAGGCTGCAGTGAACTGTGATTGTGCCATTGTACTCCAGCCTGGGCAACTGAGTGAGACTCTGTCTCAGTAAACAAACACACAAAACAACACCTAAAATGGGTTTCTGAATACACAAAGGACTTTTGCAGCCTGGTCTCAGACACTTCAGCAGCTATGTAAGAGCTTTCCAGTAGCCGAGGTATTAGAAGGTATGGCAATACAATAATGGTACAATAAGGTTAAGAGCAATTTTAACTATTTTGTGTTTTAATCCAATCACTGTTTTAATATTTTTCTTCTCAATGTGAAAACTAAGTCCAATTTCCTTTTGTTACCAATAGGTTTTGAATAACCATCCTGAACATGTCTTATTTCACACTGGAGTCGGAGCTACCCGTTAGTGTTACTAGTTACCCCTCAAAGGTTCATCGACTTGCCCCCTTGATAATTAGAGCACAAAGAGATCAGTTTATCTTTGACTTCTCTAATTCCTAGGACAGTTCCTGTGTCGTAGTACGTGTTCAATAAATGTTTCTTGGTTTGGTTAACACCACGGGTAAGGTATAACGAGGTATAAAGTCATGGCACACAGGTAAGCACATTTTCCGAGGAACACGCGTCCTGAGATATGCTTCCATGCACGTTGTCCCTCCTCCACCCTCTTTACCACCTCATTCTTAACACTAGTCGGTCTGCAAGACTGGCTGCTTTACACTCATTCGGTATTTTATTTGGGGAATTTCTCCCCCTAAAAATAATATCACCTATTAGAAATAGCTCAGGGAGTATTTTTTTTCCTAAAAAAAAAACCCACAAATATTTTGTGCTTCCAGATCTCTTTCACATGAACAATATTAGAAAACTATTATAGTCAAACAATTACAATAAATGGAAGCAGGAATAAAACAATGTGTTGTCAATGAACAACTCAGTCACAATCAATGAGCAACATTAGAATCATTATAGTCTGTTAAAGTTCCAACTTCATTCTCAGCCAATCATCTCGACGTCATTATCAACAGAAAGTCATACCAAAAATAGTTTATGATAGAGTTTGAAAAGAGCAAAACCAACTTTCGCCAAAATCTTGAAATATGCTTGATATTTTTATACTTCACATTTTTAAGAGAAAAGGAAAGAAAGAATGAGCTAAGCTGCTGATATACATTAGAGAAGACACAGCGGTTCTCGGTGGATGCACCCAGGAGATGTGAGTGGACGCGTCCGCTTTGACTCCACATGGCTCTGGACAAGCAGGAGGCATCTGCGCGGCGAGCACAACGGCTGAGGCGCAAGGCCATGGGCAGAGCAGGGCTCTACCCAGAGCTCCACGGCGCTCAGCGGCCACAGAACCCCGAGAAGGGTGTGCATGGACGGATGCACACGCAAGGCGCAAAGGTCACACACAGGCTGCCCGACACATTTCCAGCTCAGGCGCCCAATGGAGGCAAGGCGAAGCCAGAGATGGAAAAAAAACAAGAACAAGATGAAGGTGAGCATGTGCTTGGTAGGAAAGCACAGCACATGGCAACAAAGCAAAATAAACGTGCAGATATTTCCCTAAAACCAGAGAGGAGGTAGAGGAAGATGTCGAAAAGTTTCTGCCAGGCCGGGCTCGGTGGCCCCGCTTGGAATCTCGCGCTTCGGGAGGCCGAGGTGAACGGATTGTCTGAACCCGCGGGTTCGAGACCCACCTGGGCAACTTGGCGAGACCTCATCTCTACAATAAATCAAAAATCAGCCGGGCGTGGTAGTAATTCCGGCTACTCGGAAGGCTGAGGCGGAAGGATTGCTGGAGCCCAGCAGCTCAAGGCTGCGGTGGCCGGGAGCAGCCACTGCACTCCATTCTGGGCGACAGAGTGAGACTCCAACTCAAAAAAAAAAAAAAAAAAAGAAAAGTTTCTGCCAGGTAGGACACAATAAAGGGAAATGAACTGCACAGTCTGCTTATTTCTGTTAAGATCACAAAATTCCACAGGTACTCTTTAATATGCTTTGATTGCTATTCACAGCTTTCACGAGCCATCTATATTTTCTACTGAAAAACCCAAAGTTCTTGGGCGGGAATTCTGCTACCCCAGGGCCTGCCAGAAAGCTAAAGCTGGGGGCTCAAGGGAAACCGCAAGACTCTAAACAGCAGAGAGCCCACCCTTCAATTCTGCCAAATTATTCGTATCAGAACAATTCTCATTCAACCAACTTTTTTATGACGCTTCTCAGCAATATCCAATCACCCTACAGAGGGTGCCAAAAAATGAATACACATTTTAAGAAAGGAAAAAAACTGTATTAAAATCGTAATGCTCAATGTATACTGATAACAAAAGATGAATACAAGCCACGTTTGACTTCTGCAATTACAAGAGGCACTCAGAGTGGTTATCATCAGCGTCCAGATACTTCTGACTACAGTAAACTAAAAGTAATACATAGATTACATCTCTTAAAATGTGTATACTTTTTCTTGGCACCCCAGTATTTTTAATGTCTCTACACAGGCATCATTTTCTAATGTGTTCACTGCATTAACCCACATTTTCATTTTATACCCTGAGAAGCTGCAATCTTACGTTTGGAAATGCAATGTCTTCTTTTTTTTTTTTTTTGAGTTGGAGTCTCACTCTGTCACCCAGACTGGAATGCAGTGGCCACTCCCAGCCATCGCAGCCTCAACCTGCTGGGCTCCGGCAATCCTTCCGCCTCAGCCTTCCAAGTAGCTGGAACTACAGGCGTGCGCTACCACACCCGGCTAATTTTTTGATTTACTGTAGAGATGAGGTCTCGCCAAGTTGCCCAGGCGAGTCTCGAACTCACGGCCTCAGGCAATTCACTCACCTCAGCCTCCCAAGGCACAGGATTAGCAGGCTGAGCCACCGAGTCCGGCTCACAATGTCTTCTTACATTCCTTCAACATGTGAAAACCAGGACTGACCCATGGTATATAACTAACATGGATCACTAAAATACAACAAAATGGAGACAATTTGAAAGGAGGCAAAATGCCTCTACCGTGGGCATGAAGCTTTGATGAATCCAACTTTTCATACATAATATTCAGTCTACTTTATGCCCCAAATTCATCTTACCCTTGCAAGAAGGGGAAAGAAGTCAGCACATCTCTGTGGGGAACAATTCCATCCGCAGGGAGGGGCCGTGCTTCTAATCTAGATCATAAGCCCCTGAGAACTGTGTCTCATGTGTCTTGACTCCCAAGCACCGTAGTGCTGTGCCAAAACACAGCGCATGCTAGCACATCTTACGGAACGTCTGCTGGCTCTCAGAACGAATGTCTGTGCTCAAGCCCAGGCGGGCGGCTCCTAGAATGCCCCATACATAGGCAGGAAAGCCCTGGAGCTATCAGCTGTCAAGAAGCAGTGATTCCAAGCACATAATTAGCTTCAAGGCTGAATCTGGCCAGCAATGAGAGTCACGTGGAAAAGCCTTCCATCTTTCTGATGAAATAAAACCTACTTCCCAGAGAACATGAAAAAGAAAACTCAAGCTGATGCCTCATCATGGGAAACACGCATTATCCACGTAAAGCCACACACCGAAGCCACAGAAACACAGGGGCCGTGAAACCCATGCCCCTGAATCCCACCCCGTTTCTGTCTGTCAAATGCTCAGGTCCACAGCTGGAGCCTTTGGGGCCTACCACAAAGGCTGGACTCCACGATTTAACACAACATCTGGCTCTTGACCACCACAGCTAAGGCAGAACTCAATTTCTTCTCTAACTGCAATCAGAAGGGTTTGTGCTACAAGAGAAAACCTAAAGTTAAAGGTCGTCTAACCTCACATAGGCAGACATGACATGAACCATTTTGGTCTTTCAGCTATTGAGCTAGTTTCTTTGCAAAGCTGACAGTGAGAAAATAACCAGAGAGTCTGCTTTCTCCACAGCCCCACATCCCTAGGACAAACAGAAATGCCTCTCTCCACTATAGTCAGGTGCAGAAAGTTTACAGACTTGTTCATTGCACCGAATGAAGACTTAAGGAAAAGCTTGTTTCTCTGGCTTTCTGAAAAAGCCGTCTGGAGACAGACTTAGTTTCTTTTGAGTGATAAACATCCAAGAATTTAGAAACACCTTTTTTCTTTTTTGAGTAGGGGTATTGCTCTGTGGCCCAGGCTGGAGTGCAGCGGCACAATCACAGCTCACCGCAGCCTTGACCTCCAGGGCTCAGGAGGTCCTCCCGCCCCGCCTCACAAGTAGCTGGGACGACAGGTGCATACCACCACACCTGGCTAATTTAAAAAAATATATTTTTTTGTAGAGACAAGATCTTGCTATGTTGCCTAGACTGGTCTCGAACTCCTGGGCTCAAGCAATCCTCCCTCCTTGGCATCCCAAAGTGCAGAGATTACAGGTGTGAACCACTGTGCCCGGCCTAGACATACATTCCCAGCTACCAATCCTTGCTGGAAGCACTCATTTCAAGTTACACGTGTATTCAAGAAGTGGCATCTAAAGTCTCACTAGCGTTAGGACCGATCACCGCTTTCAGCACCCATTTCTGGCTTTACCTCAAAAAACATTGAACAAATAACAACTTTTCAGGTTGAAACCAAACAAGTTTTCTGAAAACCTTCTTCAAGTCCACTTATTTCTGTACCGGCCCAACAAGCAGCACCAACATGACTCAGCCATCCCGGCCGAGTCTCCCCTTGGCACATTCCCAGTGGTGGCAAACAAGAGCAGCCAGGGAGAGAGGAAGTCGCTTGCGGGGTTACCGTAAGTGAGGATGTACAGGGGCTTCCCATTTGTGTCCATGGTGGTCAGGCAGGGGGCCTTCGGCGAGATGGTGCCCCACCTCTGCAGCGCAGCCTCCAGCGACGGCGGCCAGTTCGTGACCACCCCCAGCGGCTCCCCTCGCGTCGCCAGCATCTGGGCCCCCTCCGGCTTCGGTTGGTTCGGATCTGGCTGTTGAACTGAACACGTGTGGACACAAGAGGGTGGCAAGAGAAACACAGCCTTGTTAGCTTGCTTGCTTTTTCAATCATCTTTAAAGAAGCCGGGAGACGCCCGCTTCCGGCGTGCATTTGCTAACCGGCAGAAACCAGGCTTTTCTAGAGTCAGCCTCCAAGTAGCCTCGCAGATGCTGGCGAAACACGTAACTCCTGTAATTTCCAAGGCAGATGGGGACAGAGCACTTGGGGGGCCTGGGGACATCTCTAGACTGACAACAGGCAAGACTGTGCATGTGCCATGCCCAGAGCCCAGAATCGAAGCAGCTACGTTCAGAATTCCAACTGTCAACACCAACTAGTAATTCTGGACTCCAAATCCGTCCTTAAGTATCGGGCTGTAAGTTTAAATTTACAACAATAGCCCTGCATAACAGAAGGAGCACGTTTTTCTTTCTTTTTTTACTGAGTAAACTAAAATAAATGCATCATAATAAAATGCCAGCTGCCCAATCGTTTAGATGGGTGAGAAAATGAAATCATCTCTCCAACTTCTGGAAAATGTTTGCCTCTCACAGTTTATGACTGACATTTTCCACCTCCTGGCCGGAGCATCAGCAGTGTCTCATCTGCAGCTTAACGAACACAAAGATAAGGAACTCGGGTTTGATACAGCAAGCAGTTCTTGTGCTTCCTTTCAACAGTAGGTTGATGATGTTAAAAGACCCCAAGCACTCAGGGGACAGGAACCAGCTCCTGCATTTGCAAGGACTGGAGGGAAAAGGAGACTCTGCCTTAAGCGCCCATCCAGAGAGAACTGCCTGCTGTGAGCTCGGGTTTGCTGCAGTTTACCTGCATTTCTATAATCTCACAGAGTTCTTAAAAAGAGCAAAATCAGAGAACAAAATCAGGCCCTGCTGAGAGTGATGACCTGTTTCAGTGATGTGCCTGCAACGTGGCCGTTGGGGAACAGAACCCACCTTCTCTCACTCGACTCCCGTCACCTAGTGAACGCCAAGCTTACTGCTTTTAAAAATAAAATCGGGGCAACGTCCTCGCTCCCCTCCCGCTGTGGAAGCTTTTCTGTCCTCTCGATAAATCCTACTTTCTCAAAATAAATAAATAAGTAAAATCGCCTGGTGGAAAAAGACCCTGCCGCTTACGGGACCATAGGCGCATCTGACAGAAGCAGGAGTGGGAAACGAGTTCTCTCACCTTCTAACAATTCTTCAAAGTCGTCAACAAAGAATTCTCGTAATGGTGGGCGCTTCGGTCGCTTGAGGGTATTGACAAGCTGCTGAATTTTTGCTGATACCCGGCTACTTACCGGGACTCCTGGAAAACAGAGACCATGGGGCAGATGAATCTCAGTTTGAACAAGCAACCCCGGTACGACGGCCTGAGTTCACAGAGTTCACAGCCCGTCTCCAGGGCTGCCACGACAGGCCGACGCCCTTCAAGACAGCAGTCACCCCTAAGGCCCACAGTGGCCGCTTCGCCCTCTGCTGAGTGGACGGATCACAGCACAGCGACCCGGCAGGCCTGCAGCGCAGAGGGCAGAGATGAGTCAGAGTCGACTCTCACCGTTTCACGCGATGCCCTGTCCTGCTGTCACGTCGGCCTCAGGACCACACACGTGCACTCTCGCTTCCGAAGCTCAAGATGAAACAAGACGGAACTGCCGTCTGCAGAGCACAGCCTCCCCACTCACACTGCCTCAGGCCCCTTCCCAGCGGGTGAGGCCCTGGCGAAGCAGCGAGCCTGAGCCTCTCTCCGGAGAGCACCCGCGCTCACTCCTCACAGAGGCCCCAGGGACACCCCGCCTGTGGGTCACATCCGGGCGCTCTCCGTGAGGGGCAACCACTGTCTCCACTAGCTGCTGCCACCATGATGTCCTGTGGACTGGAGCTCAGGTTCTGGTACCCCCACGCCCAGGACCCGTTTTCTAATAAAGGCTGAATTCCTCGTGTCTTCCATACCCACGTGATTCAGTATGTAGCTGGGCAACATGTCCTCGGGTGCGGCAGTCAAAAAGTCTCTAAATGGAAATTTGTATGCAACAGAATACTAGCCTACGTTTCTCTATGTGCACTGAGCAAAATAAATCCCACTTTAAAATACCTACAACGGTGGATGCCACATCATTCTGAAAATCAACTAAGTGAACTGGTCAATGAAAATGTCAAAGTTTGCAGATTTCAAGACAAACTATCCAAGTAAATGAACACGAGAGGCCCCTACACAGGCCAGATGCATCCCCTGCAGGCAGTGTCACCCGTGGGCAGGTACTGGGCAACGGCACCTGGAACCACAGGGTTGGAACCCGCAGTAGACTCTGAAAACCCATGGCTGGCACTTCCTGGCTCCTTCCCTGCACTCTGCCGGAAGGCACAGACCTCAGCAGAGGGAGAATGGAGAAGAATTCAAGGAGAATTCCTATCAAAAAATTTTAATAGGGAGTCCCAAAATTCTGTATGAGCATTTTCAGGATTGAGATGTTTAATTAAGTATTTCATATCTCTGACAGAAAAATACACAATCCAGAACTCTCAATGTCTAAACAATATTTTTCCTTTAAAAAGTCCCATTTAATTTGGGTTGGGTGAACCACAGATCATGCCACAGGGCCCGTGGTTCTCAAGCTTAGTTTAGGATACATAGGAACCATCTCAGGACTCGCCAGAGCCTCTGATTTGTTACGCCTCGGGTGTGGCCCAGAATCTGTATTCCCACAAGCACCCCGTGTAATTCTGATGTGGGCTGAGACCTCCGGCTACGTGGTTCAGAGTTTACCTGAGGGAACAAGGCGCAAATGGTGGATTTCAAGGATGACCAAGTAATTAAAATGAGGTTGAAAGAATAACAATAATGGCCAATTAACAAATAAAGGCCTTACGGATAACTAAAGCAAACGATGACACCGAAAGGCATTCCAGAAAAGCTGCTCCACTGGGAGCCAGAGTGCTCGAGTGTCTTCGCTGCACACTCGGTCTGGGAGGAGCGCCTGGTCTCGGTGAGGAGGAGGGTGCCGCCTCAGAGGCCAGCAGGCCCTCCTGGCTACCCGCACCTCGGGGGCCACAGGACACACAGCAAGACGGTGGCGCATCAAGACTGCTTTGGCCATCTTCACATAAAACTGTTTTATTCATGGCCAAGTTCTGTCTTTTACGGCCTTGGAAAGGACTGAGACTTAAGTAGAATGAAGGGGGGGAGGAAGCTCGGGCAACTCCCTCAGGTCCCCTCCCACTCTGGGAGCCTTCTGTCCTCTCGATAAACCCTACTTTCAAAACAAAAGCTCAGGTCTTGCTGCTTTGGGCTGGGCAACACAAGCAGCCACTAAGGTCTGAACACACCAAGACCCAGGGCCTGGAGAGGAAAGAAGAGCCCCCGCCGGGCTTGACCAACTCACCAACCGATGCTTTTGTCATACGAGAGAAGAACCCACTTTCCTTCAGAGTCTAAAGCCCGTTCAGCTCGGATCTGCCCACCATGTCTTCCACATGACTTCGCCTCACCCACCCTTCCGAGTACCTGCTGGCATCTTAACCCTTGTACTATAGTTTCTGAATTGCTGAGCCACCGTTTGCTATTCGTTAGCAAAAACACCAGTGTCCTATAGAACTTCTTTTTCCTCTCATGACTAGATTCCTGAATTGACACTCTTCCTACAGGAATAACTTTGGGCCGACCTGGAGACACTCTGCACTTCTTGTGCCCCGGCCACCTTCTACAGGGAGTGGATTCAATGAGCTGACTGTCTATCTGGAAGAAACATATCCAGCAGGGCACAGGAAGGGCAGTCAGCAGAAGGGGTTTCCCGGGAAGGAGGCATCTTCGCCTGGAGACCTACCGTCCCCGGTCTCCATGAGCTCCGCGTTGCCGTACTTGGGTGCCGTCCGGGACGTGGTGGAGCCCTGGGGCCGTTCCACCTGCATCGAGTGTTCTGAGGTGTAAGTGGTTACATCGGGAGGTGCAGAATGGTTTTCTGTAAAGAAACACATCGTAAGGTTTTCTGGTGGTCACGATGGCAACTCTGAAGGCTGAGCAAGCGCCAGGTATCCACCCTTTGCATGCCGTAAGATTACAAGACTTCTCTGAACCAAAGTCTGTCACAAAACTCTCAGAACAAAAGACAGTTTTTAAGATAACTGACACTGTTCCCCAAAGAACAAAATTAGGTAAAACTTTAGGCACAATTTCATACTGGGAGCCAAATCAACAACCTGCAGAAGCATTTTAATTAAAACGGGATTCTAAAACAGTCAGTGGGCAAGATATTATGCACTGTGCATGTGATCATGGAAGTCATTTTTCTCATCTGTCCTAAATAGAGGCAGCTAAGGTCTCCAGTTTGGGAGCCAGAGAGCCTGGGATTTGAAACTGAACTCTGGAAATTCCTGGAGGTCTTGGGACATACCTTAAGCTCTCTTGCCTCAGTTTCTTCACCCCCCAAATGGGAACAACAAAAGCTATGACCTGTAGAGCAGTTGGGTGGATTTAGTGAGGCAACACAAGCAAAGTTCTTAGGATACTTCTTAACAAAGGGTGAGGCATTAAGAAATATTAGCTGTTTTATTTACTGATCTCAGCAGGAATGATACTAAACAGTTATTCAAAAAGCTTTTACCTTTGTCAGATATACAGTTGGCAAATACTTTTCCCCATTCTGTGGGCTGTCTCCCTGTTCTCTCAATGGTTTCTTTTGCTTTGCAGAAGCTGGTTAATTTAATGAGGTACCACTTACCTATCTTATTTCTTAAGGTATTGGCCTGTAGGGTTCTGAATAGGAATTAGTTGCCAGTTTCAATTTCCAGAAGGGTGTCTCCTGCATTTCCTAAGATTCTTATAGTTTGAGGTTTTACGTTTAGGTCCTTGATCCATTTAGAGTTAATTTTTGTGTATGGTGATAGGCAGGGGTCCTGTTTCGATCTTCTGCATGTGGTCAGTTTTCCCAGCACCATTTACTGAATAGGTTTTTCCTCTCCCCAGTAGTTGTTGTTGATCCTTTGTCAAAGATGAGTCGGTTAGAAACTGTTGGTGGGGGGGCATTGGCAGTTGAGGGAAACTGCTAGGGAGGGAGGGGCACACCTCATTAACAAAGGTACCTGCATGATCAACGTGTGTCTACCTTAACCTGAATTGCACCCCACATCTCTACAATAAAAAATTTTTTTAAGTTTTAAAGAAAAAATTTTTTTTAAAAAAGCTTTTACAACCCTGTGCGTCTTAAGTGTCGTGTTACACCCAACAGCCGGTGCGGAGGTCTTTCCCCTACGGCGTTCACTGGTGACAGGGTGATGGCTAAACGGAGGGGAGCAGTTTTCTTCTGCGGCTGAATGAGGCGTTAAGGAGGGCACGCCATCAGCGCTCCTCAGTCACCCGTCACACCTCAGGTCCTGACGACGGGCGCGATGCTCCTGACTCGACCGCCAAGCCTCGTCAAATGGAAGCTCTTCTAGGTCACCTCTCTCCAGCCAGTGCCACGGGGGCCGTTATTTTGTGCGGCTGAAAGTGGTGCTCATCTTGAAAAGCCTTTCTTCCCTGGATGCTGCCCGCATCGGTCTGTGCCTGGACCGCCCCGAGGTGGGGCACCTGGACCGGAAGGCCGAGGCAGGGCGAGGTCCCTGGGCCCACAGCCAAGCCACTGGGGACCAGGCACGTGGCAAGACTCTGAGCTGCGGTCCCTATCCTGTGAAACGGAGACAACGACACTGTCCATAGACACAGCATTCAGTAATTTCAGTGAATTCAGGAATTCTGCAAATGAACACACACAGGCACGCCGGGGCTGCCATCCCCAGGCACTCGCATGCTTTCCGGGTAAGGAGCCCGAAACACCAGCAGGTGCAGAGACGGACTTGGGCCAGGCCGCCTCTGCGGCAGCAGCGACTCGCACGGCGCCCGGGTCCGCGAGGGACTCGGGGAAGCATGGCAGGTGCCAGCCCAGACAGACTGTCCACAGGAAGCTGCATCTCCTGCGGTCCTTTGTCTTCCCCAGCGACCCACCCCAGCGTGGGGTCCACTGGATCCCCTTCGAATCCACAGGTGAAAGCCCCATGCCCGAGTACCTCAGAACGTGACTGCAGTTTTAATCACCTCTGAAGAGTGGCTGAAGCGAAGCTACCGGGTGGGCTCTGATCCCATGTGCTTGGTGTCCTTAAAAGGAGATGCCGACAAACACAGGGACAATCCCACGAGGGCACAGGGACAGGGTGCTGTCTACAAGCCCTGGAGCGACGCGTCAGGAGGAGCCAGCCCTGCCCACGACTCCACCCTGGACCTCAGCTTCCAGGACTGTGAGCACACGGCTCTCTCGTTTAAGCCTCAGGGGCTACAGTGTTTTGACAGCCCTAGCAAGTTAACGCACATTCTAAGGGTGATTTCTCAGGCAGGTCTCGGCCCTGAAAAGGAGAGCCTGCATCAGGATGAAACAGGAACTGACCCACGAGCACAGAAGGCCAGGCCATGAGGGCAGGATGCCCTGCTGGGTCATGGGGGCGTGGCAGAGGGGACAAGAGAACCGCACATCCGCGCTGCCGCTGGGGCATCTCAGACGCCGCACCTGTGCTCACCGCCCCGTCTGTGCCTCCACCAAAACAGGCTTCAGTTCACGTTGCAGAACGATGGGTCCTCTGAGCTCCACCTCCTCGTGGGGAAGTGGTGCACTCACTGCAGCCTCGTGCTTCAAACGAAAACATACGCTCCCGCATGGCGGGCGAAACTTGAAGTCAGCCCCCTGAAACAAGCCGCTTAAATGTGAGCCCACCGCATTTTATTCAGATTCGTGTGCACTGAGGTGGTGCTGCCTGGGATGGCTCATCGGTCCTTGTGTGGGCAGTGCGTCTACTTCGAAGCAGGGAGATGATGACTCCAATATGCCCGGTGGCAAAAACTGGAAGCAGAGACCGCTGGGTGACTTCAAAGGGTCTTCCACGTTTATCTAGACATTGCCGCTCCCCTCCTCCCGAGTTCCTCACACGTGCCATCCTGCAGGACTGTGAGTCGGGCACTGCTTCTGCTGGAAGCCAGGGGTGTCTGCCACAGTCGTGACGCACCCTGTGCCGTCTTGTTTCAACAGTGTTTGCACGGAGTGCCTATTTTCTGAGAAGTATTTCAGAGAATCTTGCACACAACAGAAGCTCAAGAAACACTTGTCGATGAACACAAAACAGTGGACTCTATGCATGAGCAGGTTCAAAGGTCCAAGAGCCTCATCGGCTCTGGGCATGAGGCCAAGACATCCACAGGTCCCAGGAATGCCTTCAAGATCAAGGGCTCTCCTCACAGGGTTTGTGTCTACTGCACAAGACCACCGCTGCTCTTTGGATCAACTCGCAGTCCTTTCAAAATCAAGGAAAAATGGCAGCTACCTCAAGCCAGGCATCAGGGTCGCCTGAGATGCTGCCAGTCTCTGGAGCCCTCTGTGTGGGCTTCCCATCAGCTTACCCAGGGGCAGGCCTGTCTTACCTGCCCTGGAATCACTGATACTCTGAGCAGGTGACGGGTTCCTGGAGAATCTGGCATTTGAGATACACATGGCAGGAAGGCTGGAGGACAATGAAACTCAACCACTTTCTTTGTGTTTTTGTTTTTTAGTTGGAGTCTCACTCTGTCACCCAGACTGCTGGCTACCGCAGCCTCAACCTGCTGGGCTCCGATGATCCTTCTGCTTCAACCTTCCATGTAGCTGGAACTACAAGCGCGCGCTACCACACCTGGCTAAATTTTTTTGATTTATTGTAGAGATGAGGTCTCACCAAGTTGCCCAGGCGGGTCTCGAACCCGCGGGCTCAGGCAATCCACGCACCTCGGCCTCCTTCATGACACTTCTGCAAGCTGTGGTGGTGCCAGCAGCCCCTGGGACCCCACCCACTCCTGCGGTGCCCAATGGAGCGTCCCTATTCTGTTAGGCAGGCCAACATGAGCCACACCCCATTTGCACAGCTGCATCCTGGTGGTGGCCAAGGCCAGGCTGGGCCTCTGCTGAACCTGCCCGGGAGCTCCCGTCTTCCACAACGTGACTCCTCCCCAGTTGCCCAGGCCTGCAGGGCTCCACTCACTCCAGCCCTCGCTGGGTAGTGACAGGACACCCAGCTTACACGCTGACGCTCCGCCACACCCACTCATCTGCTCAGGAAATGCTTGAGGAACGATTCCAAGGCTGAACAAACACACAAGTTCATTAACAAAACAAAAACCTGGCAAGGAGAGATGAAACCACCCCTGTTCCTGATGCCAGCTGAAGGGCAGTAGTCGGTGATTCTCGCTGTGACTGGGCGCCCCAAGGGATCAGGGGACAGTCCCCGGGAAAGCCATGCTAACCATCTTTCGGTCCCCAAATCACTTACGAATGAAGAGAAGAAACGTGGAAGGTCTGGTTGTAACATGTGGAAAGCAGCATGCTGGAGGGCCACTAACTGACAACCGAGAACAAAGCCCCTGGAGGAACCCAGCCTCTCACGCACCAAGGCCGTCCAACCCTGGCTGCCTGCGGTGGATCTGACCACCACTGTCCACGAGAACCAGGAAGAGACGTAGGCCTCCAGGAAAGGGGTGCCGGCGAGAGGCCCATCAGGGCTCCCCGGCTGCACCCGTCTCCCAGTAGAGAACAGACCAGCTACCGCGACGAGAGGGTGGAGGGCCACGGGGCCTGGCAGAATCTGCCCACTGACACGATGCTGATGGCTCTGGCATCCCAAAGGCGACGCTTCCCCAGGGCACAGCTCTCAGCACCGGAGGCTACAGGACCGCCAAGGGGCAGAGCCAGGCCAGGCAGAACCACACACACAGCCCGGTGATACCGGCTATCCGCCAGGTGCGAATTCCCCTGACACAGCTGCGTCCGACATGATCGAGACGGAATACGTGTGGCCAAAGAAATCAGAAGGGCTCAGAAGGGAGCGAGCTGTCTGGTATGAAGCTGCAGCAGCCAGCCACCCATGTCCTCGTGTTCGTGCTCCTGGGGCCCATGCTGTGCCTGTGTGT